ATGTTTTTTGGTAGTCGTAAACTGGATTCCATAACACAGAGCCATACTCTAACTTAGATCTGGCACACGCAAAATATAACAATTTTAAAATGGCAATACTTTTGAAGTTTTTGCCATTTCTGTAAATGAATCCAAGCATCCTATTTGCATCAGCAGTCATATTCCCTATATGTGTTGTAAATGTTAATTTACTGTCGTATGTTATACCAAGATCTCTTATCTCATGTACGCGGTTGATTGTAGTATTGTTGATTGAATAATCGTACATTGAAGTTTGCTTTTTTGTTGAAAATGATATTACTTTACATTTGGATACGTTCAGTTGTAGACGATTATTATTACACCAAAGTTTGATTACATTTATTTCAGTAATGCCGTCGATTTTATAATAAAGTTTCAGGTCGTCTGCAAATAGTAGGCTAGGAATATTCAACGAGGTTGCCAAGTTATTAATAAAAATAATAAAATAAAAGAGGTCCAAGATTAGAACTTTGTGGTACCCCAGATGTAACTACGTACTGAGCCGATTTGAAAGATTCATATTCGACGAATTGTTTTCTGTTCACTAGATATGATTCAATTAGAGTAAGCAGTTTGTTAGAGAGTCCCAATTTTGTCAATTTGCTGAGAAGAACATAGTGGTCTATTTGATCGAAGGCTTTTTGAAAGTCTGAATAAACAACATCGACTTCTTTCTGCTTGACCAGGTTCGTATAGAGATATTGATTTAAACATGCAAGATTTGTCATACATGAACTTTGTTGTACGAAACCATGCTGAGTAGGAGAAATAACTTTTTAAATATGGGAGTACATAACATTTTGCAAACATATTTCGAAGAGTTTAGAAAATTTACATAAAATTGAAATTGCCCTGTAGTTTGAGGTATCGCTATAGTCGCCTTTTTTTTAATATCGGACAAATTCGAGCCGTTTTCCACTGTTCAGGGAAGACACAAGATGATAAAATTAAGTTGAATATGCCTATTAGAGGTATAGCGAGAACGACGATACAGTCCTTTATCACAAGACTAGGAACATTGTCAACGCCTGCGGTGTGTTAATTTCTTATTTTTTTTTGAAGCAGTAACAATATCGATTTTAAAGAACGCAGGGATGTTTAATGTATCTGAATCAGATATTGGCCTATAATTTTCCATAGACGTTTTGAAGCCAGATTTGAAAATTGGAGATACTTTCGATGTTTTCCATGAAGAAGGAAACACATTAGTGTATAAAATCAAATTGATGTGATGTGTTGTGATTAGCCCTGCCAGGGGCGACGGCCCTGGCAGAAATTGTGACAAACGTTGGACTGTACTCCAGTCAGTGTTTGATATTGTAGAAGCTTCATATATGTCAAAAAAATTCAATAGGAGGTCTAATGGTGTAGTTCAGTTGTCCTGAGAATTTTATAGCCGAACATCTTGGAAGGCCGTACATTCACAATGCCATTTTTAAATAACTCAAGTTGCCATCGACACTAGAATCCACTCCTTGCTGCGAAAAATTACTTCAGAACGTGTCCTGTAAATTTCAAAACAAACCTAATTACACATAAAATATTGTTATCACGTAACCACAAAGACAACCCCTCGAGAACTAATTTCCCTAACTCTTAATTAAACCAAGAAGAAAATTGTCTACAACAAGAAATCTAATTAGTTCCTCTGAGAGAGCTGTATATCGCTCTGCCTAATCTGGCGAAGATATTTATCACACATGAACAGTCTCAAATGACTGGGGTTAGGAAACAGCACACTGCTGTTTATAGATGAGTCAGTCAGGAATAATTTGGGAAGATACGGAGACTCGCGAGTTTGCCTCCCACACTTCTTTATATGTGTTTTTCTGTTCCAGTGGACGGTATGGAGTTGGAATCGCTATACCAGCGTTACTGCGTTCGACTTAAACAGGCCCTCTACCTATCCTGTCTCTCTGTTGCCACTATCACAAGTATAGGTCTCCTGATAACAACTTGCGTACTTCATGCACAGGTAAGATATGAAGATATGGTTTTATTATAGTTTCGTGGAATGTGAAAAGTCCCAACAAGAGGTACCCATATTCGACATTCAACAATGACCACCAATACATAAGCTTGCCATTTTTGAGAAGGCTGTCATTGAGTTTTGGACAACCCATTATTTTTCAATCCTTCACAATATCATCACATAAATTAATTGCTTGTATTTTCATTTTCTAATTTTAGAATCGCTTCAGTAGATAGTAGTAGATAGATGGAGCATGAGCAAAAACAATACGATTGCTTTTTTATCGACCTTTTTTGGGTATTTGTTACTTTCCACAGTCTGAAAAATATAAAAATTATAATGGAGAACTTTATACAACTGTGTACG